CCACCAGGATCAGGGCCCCCATTGTGCCAGGCGCTGCTCAAACCCCAACCAGGATCAGGGCCCCCATTGTGCCAGGCGCTGCTCAAACCCCAACCAGGATCAGGGCCCCCATTGTGCCAGGCACTGCACAGACCCCAACCAGGATCAGGGCCCCCTTTGTGCCAGGCGCTGTACAGACTCCTGGCAGAGAGACTGGCCCTGGCCTGAAGAACCTGCAACCTAAATAGCTAAAAGAGGGGCAGGGAAACAGGCACAGAGCAGGGAAGTGACAGAGCCAGAAAAAAAATCCTAGGAGTCCTGCCTCGCAGCCTGATGTCTTGTCCGCTCCTCCCAGCACCCCCAGATTTCTGGGGTTGGTCCCAATCCAGCACTGGATCAGAACTGGGCCGTCCCAGCCCATCTCTGGGCCGTTCCCACTGAACTATGCCAGAGCTTACCAAAAATTCCCACCTGCAGAAAATCTAGCAGCCTGGAGCAGTTCCGATCCAATACAGATTTAATAAAAACCTGAAAGGGGAAAAGTGCCAGGGATGATTTGACATGGAAGGAGCCCAGATACCACGGGGACAGACTGCTAGCTGCCACGCTTCTGGCATGTCAGGACAGCTGCGGGCTGGAGCCGAAACAAGGCCAAAGCGCCTCCGTCACCGAACAGGAAGAGGGTGAACCAGGAAACAGGTGAAGGAGACAGAAAATGCAAAGGAGACAGAGGCAGAGACCCAGGCGGGGGCTGGGAAGAGGCTGCCAGCTGCAACTGATGAAGCTGGCAAAGGAGCGTCACTTACACTGGTCAGTTTCGGTGCCGAGGGGAGAGTGGTGCTGTCAGGGGCCGAACCCTGCCGGCTTCCGTCTCAGAGATGCCCCCGCCCGCCGTCGGGGAGCCCTCCTGGTGTCATCCGTCCGGTCGCCACTGAGGACGCTGGGCTAACGGGGACATTTTATCAGGCCCTGAAAAGGGGAACTTGGGCGCGGGGACACGGGGCGGGGGGGGAGTTGAGCGACTGTGGCTGTCTCCCTCCCCGCACGTGTCGGAAGCGGCTCCGAGCAGCAAAGTTGATTATTAAGAGTGTGATGGAGAAACGGCTGCCCGATGACCCACAGCTCCTTCCCCCCACCCCCGCAGTCATGTGACGCGACCGACCCATAACCAGCCACAGTTCTAGTCACACTGCAGCGCACCCTTCAATCACGCCCCGGCTGATTAGGAAGCCAAATACAAGCCAGGCGCTTAACCCTGCTGCACCTGGCCCCACCCAGCAACCCTAGACTGCTTGGAAGTTAAAGTGAACCTGAGGCCTAGGGCTGAAATAGCCGGGGGGCTGTGGGCCAGGATTGAGGGGCACCATAGGGCTAAGGGCGGGGGTTGAGGGGGAGTCAGGGCTGGAATAGCAAAGGGCTGTGGGTTGGGATTGAGGGGCCCTGCCAGAGCTACAGGTGCCATGAGAGCCACGGCCAGGGCCACCAGGCTAGCGATCAGGGGGCTCCTGTATGGCTGTAGCGCCCCAAGAGGTCAGTCCCCCGGCACATGGCGCCTGAGTGAGCATAGGCATAGCTCTGTATTTGGGGGGGCAGCTCCAGTCAGGCCAATGGGGCGGCGCGTAGGGGGACAAATTCCACGCCTGCCTGAGACCTGCAATTTGGGGGGACAGTGCCCCCAACCCCCACCCAGACTACACCCATGATGAGGAGGGCGTCATGGGGACGCCGGAGCACGTGCCTGGCGCAATCTGAGACACGGGGGCAAAGGTCAAGGACCTTCCCCCTGGACACAAGGCCCAGTGCCTCGCCCAGGTGACATAGGGCCCAGACGGGAGGCTCCATCCTCCCTCCAGCACCCAGCATCCTGCCCCATGTACCTACGTCCAAGCTCCAATTGATCTGCTGCCCTAGGGCCAGCCAGCCACCCTCCCTGGCACCAAGATCCAGAAGCCGCTGGCCAGCTGGCCCCAGACACTAGCCCAGCTGCAAGGAGGGCAAGCTGGGATAATCAGAGAGCATCAGCTGCTCAGGGTCACCCGAGAGACACCCCTGAAATCCCCTTGATCTGAGTCAACGTTCCAGCCCCGCCCCGGCTGCGCCTGCTAATCCAGGATTCGCTGGAGAGATTCAGAGACGGAAAGTGGGGAGGGGCTGGGAAAACCGAGGGGGTGGAACCTGAGCCTCTCTGCCCCTCGAGGGGGTCCTGCAGCCAGGCTGGGACACATCGGGTAGAGTTAGTCAGTAGTGGGGGGGGATGAATTCTCCCTGCTGCTCCTATATGAGTTGGGGAGAGAACACAGGAGTCCTGACTCCTGTCCCCCCTGCAGTAACCACTACGCCCCGCCCCTCCCCAGAGCTGGGGAGAGAACCCAGGAGTCCTGACTCCTGTCCCCCCCTGCTGTAACCGCTATGCCCCGCCCCTTCCCAGAGCTGGGGAGAGAACCCAGGAGTCCTGACTCCTGTCCCCCCTGCTGTAACCGCCCCCCCCCCCCTCGAGCTGGGGAGAGAAACCCCCTCCCTACCCTCCAGAGCCAGCACTAAATACTCCTTGAATGAACCCGCTGTGCATACTGACGTTCACGGGGCTTTGCACTACCAAACGAGAAGGATTCTCTGTGCTGAGCCCTTCCCGCCCAGCGCGACGGAGACATGGGTTCATGTGGACAGGAGTGGGAGTCAGGACTTGGTTCTGGCCCTGGCTCTGGCATAGGGAGCGGGGGCTGGGAGCCAGGACTCCTGGGTCCCGTTCCCAGGCAGTTCTGTTGCGTGGCACATTTGAGGCGCCCCGTGAAGTTATGACACTGTCTGCGGATCTCAGCAGCGTTTCCAGGCTATTTATAGGAAGCTGCGAGCCCGGAATAACCCGGCTCCTGCGAGATCAAACAATGATTCCACCCACCCGGCTGCTGGCAGGGAGGAAACCAAGGTGGCTCCGGGAGGATGCGTCAGCACAGGGAGAATTCCCTCGGACTAAATATAATTCTGGAGAGGGAAGGTGCTTCCCAGCCCCCTGCTCTAACCACTACACCCAACTCTCCTCCCGGAGTTGGGGATAGAACCAGGAGTCCTGGCTCCCAGCCCCCCTGCTGTAAACACAAGACCCCCCCACTGCCTCCCCAGAGCTGTGGAGAGAACCCAGGAGTCCTGGCTCCCATCCCCCCCTGCTGTAAACACAAGACCCCCCCACTGCCTCCCCAGAGCTGTGGAGAGAACCCAGGAGTCCTGGCTCCCATCCCTCCCTGCTGTAAACACAAGACCCCCATCTCCCTCCTGCTCCCCTCAGACTTCCAGCCCCCCAAGGCAGGGCTCTCCCCACACCCAGGCCTTCTACGCTGGCCTCAGGCCCCACCCTGCGCAGGCCAGAGAGGTCCCCGCTCCTGAGTCAGACCCATGCAGCTGGGGAATGGAAGGGCTGAATCACATGCCAGGGCGGGTCAAAGGCCGGCTGGTGCTGTGGGGCCCGTCCGCAGTGGGGCCTCCGAGAGGTTAATTCCAGAGCAAATCCAGGTGGGGGACGCCATGGAACCCAGCCTGGCCCCTCGCTAATCTGGCCTCCCTCCCACCACTGTCGTATGGGAGGGGTAGCATGACCTAGTGGGGATGGCAATGGATCAAGGTTCTTTCTATCCCTGGTTCTGGGAGGGGGCTGGGAGCCAGGACTCCGGGGTTCTATCCCCGGTTCTGGGAGGGGGGCTGGGAGCCAGGACTCCGGGGTTCTATCCCCAGCTTTGGAAGGGTAGTGGGGTCTAATGGGGGGGGGGCTGGGAGCCAGGACTCCTGGGTTCTATCCCCGGCTCTGGGAGGGGGGCTGGAAGCCAGGATTCTGGGGTTCTATCCCCGGTTTGGGGAGGGGGGCTGGGAGCCAGGACTCCGGGGTTCTATCCCCGGTTCTGTGAGGGGGGCTGGGAGCCAAGACTCCCTGGGTTCTATCCCCGGTTTGGGGAGGGGGGCTGGGAGCCAGGACTCTGGGGTTCTGTCCCCGGTTCTGTGAGGGGGTGGAGCGGTACCTAGTGGTTAGATCCTCTCACTCTCCCCAGAGAGGATTTGAATGTGCCGTTTCAAAGAGACAAACATCTTGGTCCCTAGAGATCTCCCCACTTCCCACAGGCCCCTGTTGTTGGCAGGGCCTGTCTGAAACCAGCCAGGGTTACAGCACCCCCAGGCCCTCTCCGTAGGGGAGATCTTTAGACCCAGCCCCTCCCCCGGCCCAGCGTAACTGCCCTGCCCAGCAGTAAATGGGGGGGGGTGCCCTACCAGCACATCTCACACTGGGGGAGTCCCGTTGGGGCAGATCCCCCTCCCCCAGGTCACACAGGGCCTCAGATTCAACGAGAACCAGGCAGAGATCAGGGCTGCGCCGCATGAGCGGAACCCAGTGCTGGGAAGCAGCCGAGTGGAGAGAAATTGACCCAATTCAGGGCTCCAGAGCCGCCAGCGTCCCGTCGCCGAAAGGGGCGTCCTTACCCAGGGTCCCGTGCAGCTCCCCTGCCTGCCTTTTGGGGGGAATTCAGCACCTCGCCTCTCCGCCCCGCTCCCCTCCCGGAGCCAGAGGATGTTGTTGTATGTTGCGCTGACTAATCTAAGAGCCTCCCTCGGCGACACCCGCCCTCTGCCCTGAATTAATTAACCTCTGATGAATCCAGACCTGAACGAGAGAAGGCCGAGGCCCGGCCCCTGGGGAAGGCCTTGCTCACCTTGCAGCTGGGGGGGCGACCCTGAAGGGGCCGAGGTGCAGGCTAGGAAGGGAGCTGGAGTCTCAGAGATTGGTGGCTGGTGAGAGGCTCTTCATACCGAAAACCGGAGGGGGAAGTTGGGGCTACAGCTAAACCCAGCCAGGCCACTCACACGTAGGCCAGGCCCCTGCAGGGCGTGCTGAGCCCCCCCCAATCAGTTCCACCCATGTCACCCGGCTAGGGCTAGTGCGACAGACGAATTCATCCATTGGCCGCCCTCTCGGGGAGCGGGGTTAGCAACAGCTACAGGAGAGGCCCCGTCATCGCTGACCGGCCTAGGTCACGCTTTAGTGTAGACACACACACACCCCATCCCTGTGGGCTGCGTCCGCACTAGGGGGTTCCCCGGGGAGCTGCGATGGCTACGCCGGTCTCATCCCCAGAGCGTAGACGTGGCCCAAGGCACGAAAGGCCGCGGGCTCGGTGAACGCCCCGCCGTTGTGCCGGTGGTGTTATTTCAGGGTGAGTGGATACCGCTCCCACCCCTAGTGCAGACTCGCCTGGGCTTTTAAAGAGGTGGTTGAAAACTCGGAGCGACGGAGAAAAGCAGAACAAGAACCGGCGGCCGGACACGAGGCAGCAGGTTGTGACGGTGCCGGTGATTGGTCCCCGGGAAGAGTCGTGAGTCACACGACGGGGGAGCGGGAACGGCCTGGGCTGGACGGCAGGGAGACGAGATGGGCTCATGGCCCCCCGGACACGTGTGTCGCTGTGTCCACCCTATGGAGGGGTGGGGCCACTTAGCTAGCCCGGGTTCCCCGCGGTGCTGGATGGTGGCTGCTGTCTAAGGCCGCCCCCCGCAGAGCCAGCCCCTTGGAGCCCCCCAAGA